TCTGAAGTATAATTTTTTATTGTTTTTATATTTTTCAATATATTTATTTTGTTTGTATAAAATAAAAAAATAATTTTTAACGATACAATAGTCTTCGTTAGGCTTAACATCGACGAAAATTCAACACAAAGCGACACAAACGGAGAAAAATTTCAACATCAGATACGTTAAACTATTTTTTCACACATAATCGGTTATCCGAAATATCAGTTATCCGAACAACCCCAGTCCCCAAATGATTTGGATAATCGACGCTCTACTGTATATTCATTACACTGACATTTCACTGTATTACTGTTACGAAATAAAACAGCACTCTTATCAGCTGAAATCACTTCCTATTTTTAACTCTCAAAGGAAGTAAATAAAATACATTTTATTGGTGAATTTTGTATAACTAGATGATGATGATGATGACGACAATATATATGAGAAACTGATTATTTCCTTTATTTGTAGGACAAATATCTTAAAAATTAAAAATATATGAAGAAAACTCTACAAACATGCTACAAAAAGTGCAATAGAGATATTTAACAGGATGCAGTTAGCATTGCAAGAAAGATACTAACTGCAAAGCTTTCATTCTAAACATATTTTTATGAATTTTATTTATTTCATTATGTATATAATGAATAATGGCATTATTTCTCTAAGAATTTATTAAATTTAAAAAAATTTTGTATTTACAGGTTCTAAGAAATATTCTTTACATATCTATAAATTATTTCTATTGATTAATTCTAAAGTCTTGAAAAAGTGTTATTTTCAAGTTTGACTTAAGAAATATTCAAGTTACTGATATAAGGTTAATTTAATTAGTTTGAAAGCATAACATATTCAAAAGTAAAAGTAAATTTTGATAAAACTTCTGGTTACACAATTCAATGAAAGATTACTTGCAGAATATATTTTGTATTAGTCATGACATTTAATATTTAATAGATTATTAATACTATCATAAATTCACTTCAGTGCTTGAAATAAATTGTAAATATTGTATTTTACAGTTTTGTTAAAACTTTTCAGTGTTCACAAAGTTTTGATTTCTCGTTATTACAACAAATTTAGATTAATATATGTATAAATATATAAGATTTAGATCATACACACCACACACATACACATATATATATATTGATCTAAATAAAATATTTTAGATATTTATTGTGTTTACTGCCATATGTCTAACCATCAATGAGCTGATGAGAGGTCTGTGTTTAAAATTAACATGGACGTAAATCCATGTTAAGTCATATTTGAATAATTTCAGATATTTTAATACATAAAAATATCATAGTTAATTATTTAAACTAAATACAACAAATAAATAAATAATGACTTAAAATTTAAAAATGCAAAAAGAAAATTTAAGATAATTGTTTCTTTGCTTAAATAAAAAATTCACTTTAAGTCTCAAAACTTTAACACATTAAACAATTAGGAAACTTTGTAGTTTACCTGAAGGCTTAATTGAAATCTATTATTCAGACTAACTTCACTAAATAAAACAAGATTTACAAAAATATTTATATAATAATAATTTAAAAAACAATAATACTTTAAATTTCAATTATTATTCTGCTCCAATACGTTTAAATACTTTGTATATATGAGAATGGATTAACTGATTCAAAAACTAGATGTAACTCATTTTGAACAAATTTAAAAAAAAATGCTCATTAAAAAATCAACATTTGATCTTACATAGGTAAGTAATTTGAATAACTATAACTATATTTTAAATTGTAAATTTAATAAAAATTATATCTTTAGGTTTAAATTTTGAGTATATATGAATTAATATATACAGTAATCCCATCATTTACATAAATTCACTTTCATGCAGTTGAAAAAATTTTTTAAATTTTAAAATAAATCAACTTTATGGACATAAATGATAGTTACAAGGAAAAGTGTTTTTTGTTATTAGTAATCTTTTATATAGATGTTTATTTTTTTTAAAATTTAGTAAAAACTTTTCTACTCCAGTAAAATATTGTATTTTGATAATATGGAACAGATCCCTATTTTAACAACTTCCCATGGCTCCATTTAAAGAGATTTCATGAAACCAATTACTAAAATAAATCAACTTTATGGACATAAATGATAGTTACAAGGAAAAGTGTTTTTTGTTATTAGTAATCTTTTATATAGATGTTTATTTTTTTTAAAATTTAGTAAAAACTTTTCTACTCCAGTAAAATATTGTATTTTGATAATATGGAACAGATCCCTATTTTAACAACTTCCCATGGCTCCATTTAAAGAGATTTCATGAAACCAATTACTAAGATAGAAGAATTACCATATAATCAAAGAAATTGGAAAATACAGTAGAGTATCGATGGTCCGAATCAATTGGGGACTGGGGTTGTTCAGAAAATTGACTTTTCAGATAACTGATTATGTACAAAAAAATATATTAATCTATCCCATGTTGAAATTCATTCAAATCCTGGCACGTCCTTAAGTACCCTCTCATGGTCGTGCCATTGCTGCCAGCTAAAACACGCACACCAACAAAAATAATATTGGAGTAGCCCAAGACATAGCCAAAGATTGCAGTGCCACAGCACTAACGGAAATTTAAATTTGACGACTGGAAAGCTTTTGATTAACTGACATTTTGGTTAATCAATATTTAGATAATCGATGCTCTACTGTAGTTAATTTTTCATTAATGATTAAACTAAAAGTGATTTTTAAACTATTGTTTTAAAATTAATTTTCTTATTAACATTATCAGTTAACATTTAATGACTTGTTATTAGTTTATCAGGCATTGAATTATTGTTTAATTAAACAGGACAGAAAAAATATGATAATGATTATTATTTCAATTATGTAACATATGAACAGTAGATAATTTAAAATGCATGTAAAACAATTATGTAATTTTGATCCTGTTTTAATTTTAATTCTTATTAGAGTTAATTTAATTTAATTAGTAAAAACAAAATTATTTTTAAATACATGCTTTTAACTGAGCATATTTTTAATTGCTATAATTTTATTTATAAAAATTACATAATATAATGTTAAAAATGCTATTTAAAACTCAACTTTTTTCTCATTAAATATTAGTACAACATATCAATTAAATTATAAATAAGTGATGGTTTATATTATGTTAAATAATACTCACTACAAATTTTTTTCTTGTTTGTGAAACCGTTTTAGCAGAAACAATTTCAAAAGTAACACGCTGAGATGATCTTTTGGGAGAAGACATGTCACCAGACGAACTACTACTACACTGCGACGTTTTAGACCAAGTTCCTATAGTAAAAGGAAATATTTTTTTGATAACTTAAAGTGATAATATTACTTCATATCAATTTAATTTTTAAATAATTGATAATCTTAAACTATAAACTATGTCATATGAATATATGTCACTCAATAAAATATAGGTCATTTCATCCTTAACCCCTATATCTTTTAGAAATTAATTCATTAGAATATTACAATACCATAAAAATACATATAAAATTTTCATCTGTAAACCAATTTTTATTTAGAAATATTTTTCACATACATAAAAATAAAATTATCGTATCAAATATAGTTTAATTTTAAAATTTCTTTGTAGATAACATTTACACAAAAAATTTTCATGCAGCAAAAATCACAATTGATAAACTAAAGACTTGAACAGGATCAAATATACAACTTTTTATGTTCTTAAGCTTTAGAAAAAAAAACAAGAATGTAATGAAATGACTTTGTTTTTCTACAGCAAAAGTATCATTTTATCTATATATAATATCTAATATTTCAATTAAACAAAACAGCTTTTATGAAATTATATATATATATATAAATAAAATATTGTATATGATAGAACTATCATATCTTTTTTGTGCATATTATCAAATTGATAAATGTATTTATACATTAATCACACTTGATCCATTAGTAACTCTTGGATTTATTAAAAAAAATTGTGATTACTTTTCTTTCCTCACTGAATTCTCAAGGTATACTAATATATTTTCAGTAAAATTTAATATTTTTCTTGCTAGATTTGATAAACTGATGACAGTATACAAATGGCATTACCGGTTATATATATCTACAAACTATGATAAATGGCATCTAATTCTAAACTAGTTTTTTTTTCTTTTTAAATTCATTTTCAAATAAAAACAGGAAATTTGTCAATTTTAAGAACTGAATTAGTTACATTTTATGAAAAAAAAAATCAAATTTCACAAATTAAAGTGTATTTTTTTTTATGTTTGAAACTCAATACACTTAGATTTGCTATATTTTCTAAATAAAAATAAACGTTTTGATATATCAAAGGAAAGTGTCTTTTTTCAAAAAATATTTGAAAATTTCTTTAGCATAGTATACTTATTACTTTCAATTTGTTATATGAAAAATTAACATATAGGCTAAAAATGATTAAAAACTATTTCTTAATACTTCTAATCTTTAGATATAACTGCAATGCACATGATTACATTGAATAAAACAGTCCTAAGAAAAAGCAGTTTTCTGCCATTGCAGAAGTTCATGTTGAAAATAAACCCTATCATAACTCTGCATGATCATGTGACTTCTGAGACACAACAAGCACTTTAGAAATTAAAAAACATTCTGAAAAAATAGCCACTTTCCTGAAAATAAGATTATTATGCTCTGTGATAAAAATTATGTCCTTTATCATTACTGTATCTAGTCTTAAAAGTTTGAGAAAATTAATGTTATAAAAAATTTAAATATATATATTCAACTACTCTGACTTAAAAATATAGCAGTTACATACAAAATACAGATCATTCTTTAATAAAAGTTAACTCATAACATTGCTTATATTGAAAATCATTGAAGCAATATCACTGTCATCAAAACATTCATTTACACAAGAAAAAGTGACTCAGCTAGCAATTTAATGAATAAATATATGATACTATAGGATATAGATATCAATTATTATTATTTAATAAAAAGCTGATTGATTTAAATAAAATAAATAGCACAAATTGCAGTGAATTAAATAAACCCAATGTAATTCAATGATTCAATGGTTGTTTGGCTTTACAAATTTATTGGGTTTCTTGAAGTTTGTTTATGCATTTAAAAAAACTAATTTGTCTTATTGTACAGAATTGCATATACAGTACTATACTTTCTTTGATTATATTGTCACCACAGAGTATAAATACAAAAACATGATAAATTATGAATATGAATGTATAAAATCAATAATATAATCAGTTAACACTCACTCTACAAATAAATAAATAAAATAAATAATTTAAATTTATTTTAGCTAATGATTGATGAAACAAGACTACTGTTTACTAGCAATATGATAGTGAAAATTAAATCACCCTTGACTACATAGATGAATTATTTATGCCTGATTATTATTGAAGTAAAAAGAGTAAATTTAGATATTTTATTACAAAANGTAGACCCATTTAATTTTAAAAATGATTTTCTTTTTCAAAACTACAATGTAATAAGATTTTCAAAAAGTAACAATTATAATAATGGATATCATTTAGAGATTTAGCAGATTTGAGAATTAATGCAATTTAATTTTTACTTTGAAATGCATTTTATTGTCTACCAGTCATTTAACAATAATGAATTTTCACATACAGCAAGGAGTTATTGCAACTGACAATTACTGGCTTACACTAATACTAATCCAATAATGAAAACATTTAATGAATCTTAAGTAGTACAATGCTTAAAAACAAAAAATTATTCTATGACTCAGTACAATTGTTTGAAAGTAATTAATTGTAATGAAATTGTTTTGTTCAAATCTAATCCTTGTGTAAACTTAAAAATTAATTTGAAATAGTAACCTGTTATTAAAATTCTATGCAATTAGACATAAGTTAATTTTAAAAACTATTAAGCATTCAAGTTTATAATTAATATTAAAAAACAAACTATACACACTTAAAAAATTAAGTATTTAATTCAAAATTGATTTAATCTCTGAATAAAAGTTATTCCTTAAATCAAAAGCAACAATAATTTATACATAAATATTTTATAAATTGAGAAAAGCTACTACAGTGAAATGTTGATATAACGAAATTGAAGAAACCATCAAAATATATGCATTATACTGAAATTTCATTATATTGAAACAGTCAAAAATGCAAGGATAAAGAAATTTATTGATTAAAAAAAAAAATCTCTTTTGTAGTAAGGAAGTTTTTAAAAATGCAATTTATCTATTAGTATTTATATGGAACCAAATTTCACATTTTCAGAATGTAAGGATATATTAAATTAGAATGAAAATTAATCCATAATAAAAAATTATCAAAAAAAAATCACGAGTAAACAACTAAAATAACAATATAGTAGTACAAATTAGTTGGAATCCTGCCTCTTTAATTGTTATTTCTGTTTGAAGCCGTTATTTTCTGTTAAAAGAAGTCTAAGTCTTGTGTGTGTTTTCTTTAAAGTTTTTTTTGATAAAATCCAGTCCTGTGACACAGCATTCCAATAGACCATCAGGCACATCTTTTGTTTTTATTCTTTTTTGAGCATTATCTAATATTTTATTCTCCTCTTCCAAAGAAAACTGCTTTTGTTTTTCTCCATTTTTTCTTGTAAACTTAAAGAAATAAAATTTAGAGTAATAATATCAAAACAAAACCATAACTAAAAGATTAAAATTTGTGTTGCCAGTTGAACTAGACATTAAAATTAATGTTGCCAGACTTTTTGACATAATATTTATCATTTACTAATAATGAATGATTTATGCATTTATAGATTTCATTATAATGAAACTATTATTTTGTAATGAACAGAATTTTTATTATGTTAAACTGAAATTTTCATTATAATGATACAGTAGAACCTCCATTATCCGGATTGTTCAAAATAAACAAAAATTTTACGAATTTGCTGATTTGCACTTGGCGAATTACGATACTGTTTATGTACGTGATGGAATGCATAACTTTTTTTGTTTCAACAACGTCTCACCCAGCACAGTGGTCGTAAACTCTTAAATATATTTTACGTAGTAATAAAAATATAACTTGACATACGTATTTATAAATAATTTATATTCAAATTACATCATTTCTATGACCAAGGGCGGCGTAAGGCATGG